TATATATATATATATATATATATATATATATATATATATATATATATATAGTATTGTTTTACATAGGTATTATTTCTTGAGAAATTACCGCCTGCAGCATCTGTTTAGCGTGTGGGGTCGAGGAGAGTAAACAGTAAATATTCATTAATACTCCTGTCTGTTTGTTGTCTTTTTCTTTTTAGATTTTGTATTGTATAGCGATAGATATAGTTAGTAGATGGCTACATTTCTAATGATATGAGGCATTAGGCAATTCGTGAGAGTATGAGATTATAGTGAATAGCTTGGAAAGATATACATATATCAGACAAAAATAGAAATAGAGCGAGGGGGTTTGAGAAGTAGAATAGTTGAATAAGTTACAAATTATAGTTGATAGAAAATAGTAGTAGTTAGTAAATAGTTTTGCTTGTGTAATTGTTGTTTATTAAAAGAGTAATTTAATATTGAAGTTTGTTTCAGTGCAGTTGAGTTTTAAAAATGAACTGCTTATGCGCGATATACGTATATGTAGATAAAAAGTTATGTGTAAGTGTTGACAAATGTGTATTACAATATGTTGGCAAGTTAAGGAAGTTAGTGAAAAATATCTGTTAGTCAGTAGAAGTTAGTGTTAAAAGATGTCGAACCTAACGCAAACGCGAAATAGACATTTATTGCGAAGCGTATGCTAAGAGTACTGCTACTGAACAAGATCTGCCTCGAGAAATATTCCATACTGAAAGTATTAAATTTCCGACTTCGTCTTACAATATGAGATGTGCCGAGGCATGTATTCATGTTAATATCAGGGAAAACAAAATAAAAAGAAGCATGTACAAAAAAAAAAAAAAAATTTTAAAAAAAAGAAAAAAAAAATTAAGAAAAAATGTTAGAGCCTTATCAGAAGAAGGCAGGAAGAGATTGTAATAGAAGAAATTGAATTGTGTTTTTTCTTTATATTTCGTATAAAGGCGTTGGCAGCTGTATTCATTCTTGCCGGCCGTGGGGGCGTGGAAAGTAAGGCGTTTGGCATTGTTGTATGTCTTTTGTGTGAGGTGCATGAACATTTCTAAGGATTTCTGTGCACTTGGGTATCGTTTTAAAGGTGGCTGTAGCTGTTTGTGAGTGTGTGTGTTTTTTCGAGTTTTGTATTTTATATCTTGCTGTTACTGGTGTTTGTCAAGCTCTTGTGTTTAGTGTGTGTTTTACAATGAGGTAAAGTTCGGCCGTGAATAGGTTCAAAGGGAGGAGCGTATAAATATGTACATTTTATTTCATTTTTAAGTTGGTTGTGGGCGGTGTTCTTGATTTGTGTGTGCGCTTAAGCTTAAATATATATGTATATAATATAATTCGTAGTTATCAATTGAATGACAGACTAGCTAATGACAACTGCGAGCCAAAAATGATTTCTGATGAAAGTGTGTGTGTTAGTAATTAGAGTAGTTTACCGAAATCAAAGAAATAAACTCAAAGGTGGGTATTTTTAAAGTGCAGCGCTATGCTTAGGATTTAAAAATAATACAAATAATATTTGTTTGTTATTTTTTAACTTCAATTTTGAACGAATCTATGACACAAACTTAACAAATTGATAAACATAGTCAAATGGTCTTTTATTTGTAATCATGCTTTAAGGCCAATCAATAATTTTCGGTTTCATCATTCAAAACTGAAAGTCAGGCTCAAATCATAATCGAAATGTGTGCCGCATATATTAGTATATATATTTATATATATATTAATGTTTTGTATAGAATTGATATTAACTTATTTATAGATATGCTTATTTTCTTGTATGCAACTTACGCGCTGAGTACGAGCTCGATTAAGTTGCACAAACCAAACGCTTACCTGCAAAAGAAGAGGAATTACATTTTATTAAAATTGTATTAAATTATTGCTAGTTGTTCTTGGATTAAATTGTGCTCCATATATCATGGAGTTATTTGCTGTCTGCACGTTTGATACATTTATTACGCTTACTTACGCTAACTGGAAAAATCCCTATATATTATCCTCGCATAAGACAGGCAATAGTAATAAAGGCTAACACGACAGCAACTCAAATAAATTCAACGATTGTGCTCCACGAAGACGACAATGGAAACGCATTAGCTGCCCATGCTTTGAAAGCACACACACATACTCAGACACCCTCTGTTCTTCCTCTTGTCTAACAGGGCGGAAAATATTTACAGATTGAAAACTGTAAAGCTAAATTTCGAAACAATGTTCCATTGCAGTAAAACATTTAGTTTCAGCTATTGGCCGGTCGTTGCAAAAAATATTTTTTGATTTGCTCCTTACTTTTATTATGCACAATTGAAAGTGTGCTAAGAAATATGTATATGGCATTTAATATATATGGAACTTCGATTTGATTTCTCAATTTTTATGGTCATGCTAATAGCATTTTCATGTTTTTCGACCAGTCTATCAATGCCAACTGGCAGAGCCGCAGTCGACAGCTGAGGAGTGCGAAGAGGCAAGTGGCATGTGGCAAGTGCTTGTGGCAGGTGGGTGGACAAGTAGGTTGGCTAATGATTGAGCTCGTTCATTCTCACTCTATCTATCTAACTAGACGTCACTGCTCTGCTTGCTCTCGCTCTTTGTAAGTGGTATTAGGGCTGGGCCAAGTCGTTGCCAGAGTTCTGTGAATTTAGCATCAATCTACGCAATTAACTGTATCAATTTGTTAGAACCACTTGGCGACGCATTCGTGCAGAATTTCTGCGCTTGATAAGAGGAAACAATTCGACCATGGGGCCCGTCTCATTTCGAGTTTGAAATGGAAACGGGGTTGGGGCTGGGCATAACCATTCGGCCTTATAGGCAGCAGCACCAGACCCTAGCGAATTGCGAGAGCGTGCTTTGTACCTAAAGCGTCACAAATACAGACGGCTAGATACACAGATACACAATATATAGTGGCTATGTAAATGCTTGCCATAGACCATATGCTGCATTGTGGTATGTCGCATGCTTCCAGTTGATAAGCGTTTTAAATAAAATATTCTAGCGCCGCGTTTTTGAAAGCATTCAATGATTTTCCAAGCGATTGCACAACCAACGATTAAACAAAAGCAGCAACAGCAGCTAAAAGAGTTAGGACGAAGAGACGCCAGAGGTGCGGGTGTGGTAGCTAAAAGCGTTAGCCACTTTCATGTGTAGCAGTTACTTGTACTTGCCTCCATCTGCTGCGCTGTGCAGTAGCTTGAAAATGAATTATGTATGTTTATCGATCGGGTATACCAAAAATACATTTATATATATATATATATATATGTATATATATATGTATATATATTTATATTTGTGTATATTCACCCCATTCAGTAAGATATCCATATTTATGAGCATAATCATGTAAGATAAAGGTAAAGTCGCATATTAAGTCCGTTTACTTGGTAATTCCAGATTTTCTTTACCTGTGATTTAGTTACAGATTACAGAAATAGCAAATAGCATAAGATTTTGGGGCCTTTATGAAGCTAATTAATTTAGACAGCTCTAATGCTTAGGTGTCTGTAAATTGTGAACTCTTTGGTACGTATATTAACTATTCAGTTATGCTACGAATACTCAACATACAAATATCTTTCTGTGGATGGATCCATTGGATCCATTTAACATACATTTTGTATTTAATTATAATATATTGGCTTTCTGATTAAATTTCGATTTTACTCATAATTTATTAATAAAAATTTCCCCTTCCATTAAAACTAGTTGTTCGCCTGGAACTTTTGTTTGTAGATTTTACTTACCTTTAACAGCACTTAATTGGTTTCCAACCATCTGCTTCGCAATAAACGCCGCCATTGTGTTTTATTACTTGCTATCACCTGTTTGTTGGATCTGTGGGCGTGGATGCTGCTGTTGGTATTGAAAGGTGTAGTCACGGTTCTCGTTGCACCCAACTCCGCAACTGAAAAGAAAACCAAACTGTGAGAGAGACAGAAAAAAGCCAAGCAAATTAAATTGTGTTCAAACAGAACAATGCTTAGGACAATGAGCCCCAGAGCTCTTCTTCTGCATCCTACAGCCAACTTGTCCTGTCACCTGTGCTAGTGGCCGAACCCCTGATACTTTAAGCCGATTAGCTTAAATGCCGCCGACTGTCCGAGCACACTTCTCGACAGCTCCCAGTTTACAGCTGGGCTCTGTCCGTGAGAGTGTGTGAAGCACATTTCTGGAATTACTCGCCCAGCCCAGGCCAGCTCAGCCCATCCCTACCCAGCGCAACCTTCCTGCCTGCCTACTTGCCTGCTTGAATTACTACACATAATCTAATATTATATTAATGTTCTAATGAATGTGGGCGCACCAAAAAATTAAATAAGAACTTCGTAGCTGCCTGTAGCTAGTAGATTAATACTCGCTCAGAGTTCAATTGCCTCAAGCTAAGCGGCTCAAAATGTCATCCACATTAGAAAAAGCTTTATTTCCACGAGTACAAACATCTAATATTACATCTTCAGGGAGTCTGAAGAAAGCCAATATACTTGTTTACTCCGCAGAAACGAGAATCGAAAGAGAAAATTTGCAATTTTGTTAAAATATCGCGGCTACGGATTATTTTCATTTCCATTTCCATTTTCATTTGCATTTTCATCTAGTACCAGCGGCTTCATGGCCATGTATTAATATCTACTCAAATTGGGCTAACAAACTTAAGCTTTGGGCGTGACTGGTATGGGAATGGGAGTGGGGTTGGGGCTGTGGCTAGGGCTGCAACAAATTAAAACAACGCCCAGCTAAACGAGCAACCAAATTAGTTTGACATAAAAAGTATACAGCTGGCAGGCAGACAGGCAGACAGGCAGTGCGAATATACAGATAGCCTGACAGATCGCCAGGATGTACGGAGCTCAGGACTTGCTTTCCCTTCCAGTCTCCCCTTCGTTTGCTGCCTGCCTGCCTGCTTCCTGCGCAAAGCTAATGAATTAAGCTGGAGCTGCAAAGAATTTTTAGCTTTTCAGGCGTCCTGCGGCCACGCGTCAACAGAGTTGTTTATTGGGCACAGCCCCAACACCCAGCCCCCACTTTACTCCAGGACCCGTCCACAAAAAATACAAGAAAAACATTTTCCTCTTACGAAATTTACTTTAAGCATACACTTTGCTTTAAATGCATTTGCTTTAGTTATGTGAGCTATCGGACAGTGAATTATAACTATATAAGAATAGAGCTACATATATTCCAGACATAACTGTAAACTGCGCTGTTCGTATTTCAGTTTCAGTTGATTAAGAACAAGTGACTAATAATGTGAAGTTCCAATGGTTTCATACCACCACGTTAATGCAGCCTTTTAAGACTGTCAACATAAGATAATTTTCTATTTTACAATATATTGCAATGGCTTGAGGAGTTGGTATACTTAGTCTGCTGCTTAAACTACGAAATAGTAAGCGACTAATTTCAAATTTTAGATTCGAGCTGACTATTCGCTATTCAGTCGTGTCCAAGAATAGTCAACATTTCTATATCTACATGCGTGGTAATCGAGCGAACCGGGCTAGCTTCAGACTGTCAGTTTACAAATTTTACGATCTTAGCTTTAATTTTTGAAGCGAAAGCTGGCAAGTTGCTCGAAACAAAAGAATTCTAAGAGACTAGTCAAGGCTTTTCTGCTCCTACTATAAAATATGTAAATAAAAGGCGAAAATTTATGGGTTTCGTGCTTAGAATTTGATGGGCAAATAGCAGAAACAGCAGCTGCCGCTGTTTCAGGTGTGCCTCAACAAAAGCCAATTCGCATTTCTTTTGCTGGGCTATCCAATTACGATTGAAGTTGTTTTTCTGATATGAAAAGCCAAAGCCAATAAACACGCAAATAAGCCAAGTTGAGTTTTGTTCGTTCCCATGACGTCGCAGTAAGTGGAGCTCCTTAACATAAGGGCGGGGTCAAGGGGTCAGCAGCGATATCATGTATACGCGCCCAAAAGCCTGCCCAAAATCCAATGTCAAATAGAAACCCTTTTGCCAAGTTCGGCTCACTTATACAGTGGGGCAAATCAAAACTTGTGTCTGGCTGAAAGTGAGCATAATTTGTAGGTATGACTGGTTCTAAAGAAATAGTGACTATATTAAGCATACGCAAGATATTCTGAGGTACTGGAAAGCCCTTTTGCAACACTTACAATAGAATAAACTTAACTGGAACAATCTCGTCTACCTTTTCAAGAGAGCATTAGCTAAGGGTAGATTAGAAATTTCATAAAAATTCTTGTGAATGAAACGATATAATTTGTATACGGTGTTACCTTAACAGAGTCAGCTGCTAATTTACGATATGTTCATTCATTTGAGAGAAATCTATATTTAGTATACGTAGCGTTCTTTAGCATTTCTATTTTTACTTTTGAAAAGTTATCTTTCTAATTGAGGTATGTATTAAGTATATGTAAGTGGCGCTATCCAATAAAGCTAAATGATAATGCGAAATGTTTTTCCGTAATGACCACAAAAGTTTTCACTGGGTAACTGCTTGTTGAATTGGTAGCTCGAAATCAGGTACTTTGGAGCTCACCTTAAGAATAAGACTCTAATAAGTATACACAGCACAAACCTTGTCAAATTTAACTTTTGGGGCGAACTTTTTTAACAGTGGGCGTGGTCACAAATCAAAACTTTTCATTAGGTGACTGTTAGCTAAAGTGGTAGGGGTAAATCAGGTGTGCATTGCGGTGTCTGGCCACTTCACGCGTGAAAATGCGCAAAGTTGATGCAGAGTTTTAGTGAGTTGCCTGCTTGAAGCGTACTTCCCGCATAGTTTGAACGCTTTGAGATACTTGTAGCTACTTTTAAATACTTTTCAGCTGGGCATCTGTGCATTTACTTACCTACTGTTCCGTAAATATTCCGCTTAGATTTGCGTGTGTTGCTGTACGTGTGTGTTGTTGCTCTGGATGGTGTGATTGTTGCTGTTGGTGATACAGTCGTAGTTGTAGTTGTAGTTGTAGATGTAGTTGTAGTTGTAGTTGTAGTGGTCGATGTTGTAGAAATAGAAGCAAAGTTTTAAAAGTTGTTTGTTTTGTTTTTAAAGAAATCCTCTAAGAAGAGCGAGCATCAGACAGAAAGAGTTTGCTGCAAAGTAAACACAGACAACAATAAAACTGGATGAATTCACTGCTCCAAAAGATAAAACCGAAAAGATCCAGATAAAGAGATAGAGGGAGAGAGGAAGATGGATAGAAAAAAAGTGAGAGAGAGAGAGAGAGAGAGAGATAGAGAAATAGAGCGAGAGACGCGATAGTTGATAAGAAAGAGATCTCTATACGATTTTAATGAGTTTGTTTTGGGGGTCAGGTCTATTGAGCGCTGAACCCTACATAACACAAGAGCCTACCGATATTGCAGCCAATTTAAACAGAAGCACGCAGACACATACACATACACTTATACACACAGAGGCAGTTGTATATTGTGTTGCAAGGGGTATATTAGCTGTGATACAAAGTCTTTGACTTGTATATGCATCAAATTTCTAAGTACAGACTTTACAGGCAGATAATTTTTGCCATGCTTTCTAAGTCTAACTTGTATATGTATATAAGAAAAGTTAAAGTTATGAACTCCTGTTCTGAAGTGGTGTAAGTAATTTACATAGATACAAAAACGAAGTAGCATAGAAATAATCATATCATATGTTTTCATCTAAAAACGGAAATTATGTCTGAAAGTGAACTTAATATTCGGCGATGTTGTATACAGTTATTTGTGTGTGTTCGTGTTTTGTTGTTTTTATCGATATTTCTTTATTAGGGTTTCTTTTATGCGAGCGTGCACGAAGTGCCCATTACGAGGCTGAGCCAGGCGTGTGTGCGGCAGGTAGACACATACAAATGCAAGCACATATACAGACAGTATTTTTACGTAACAAACGTTGCGGACAACTCTGTTTAGATCAAACTTATAAGAACATTCGCACTTTTGGCCTGCCGATTAAATAAAAAGGCTTCACTTTGCCGATTCAGCTGCCCTTAGCTCTCACTGCCAATGAAGCTCAGCAAAGAGCCATATGAGCAACAAATTTGTTTATAATTTAATTATTGTTAATCGATTTGCCACAGATTGTGGGCTTTCCTTATACATGCATAAGAGTATTGTATTATATTATATCTGTTAAGCGAGTGTTGATGTACACGCACAAGCAGACACATATGTAAATATATCTAAGTATATATCTGGGCATTGTATTATATTATATCTGTTAAGCGAGTGTTAATGTACACGCACAAGCAGACACATATACATATGCTATGTAAATAACACACACACACACACACACACAAAAAAATACGAAAGTAAAGTGCACAAAAAAGTATTGAATAAAATAATGGAAAAAAAC